TTGTATTTTGAGAGTTATGATTTTTCTAAACCGAGCATGCTGCTGAACCGTAATAAATTCAACATAAATCGAGTTGTTATCCGTTTGAGCTGAATTTTTGATATGTTTTGCCTCTGTGTATGTTAAATATTTGTGCCAAGCTCCAGATTTTATTTTTGAGTTTATGGTGTTCCAAATGCTTAAAACGGTTTCTAGGCAGAAACTTGTAAAATTCATTAAAAATCGTACACTTGGAGTTTTGAGCTGAAACTTGGAGGAACATGTTATTTTGTGATGTTTTATGTTGTGCAAAAATTTCGTACTGAAACTCGAAGTGTAGCCATGCGAACCAGTAAATGCCAATTTTGACACTGTTTTTGCTTAAATTATTTAAAAATGCTACGGGATGAATTTAGGGTTGAAACTTGGTGAGTTTATGTGTTTTTGTATGCTTTATAATGTGGTAAAGTTTCAGGTTTATTTACTGAGCCTAACTCCTAATTCTGAATTTGGTTTATTTTGGAGTCTTAATGCTCGCTTATCGGTTGTTTAGGTTAGGATTGGATTTTATAAATGTTGACATGACTTATGTGTATTATATGAAGTATTTGAGTTGTGTCCAGGTCTGGTAGTCACTCCATAGTACCTAACTCGGTCAAGGAATTCACGAGTCACTTAGTCGATATGATGTCGGCTAAGTATATGTGCCTTACGTGTTGTTTTGTATTGGACAGTCAGTGATAGGTCATTATAAATTGTTGTAGGTCCTTCGAGCTGAACTTGTGCCATAATTCCTTCAACTCTGTGTTTGGCTATACCTCTTGCTACATCCAGGTGGGTTTTATTTGAAAAGTTTCTATGCAATAATTAATTGTTATTGTTGTGGTATGATCAAAGTATGCATGCGAACCATGTAGCCTTCGATGTGAGCTATATTGGCCGTCGAACGATTTTCTCCGTAGCTATAGAACGTACCCGATGGGGTGTCTCCTTTATTTATGTATGGCAGTCAGGGCGTGAGCCTTGGCTGGTGATCCTCGATGTAAGTCCGATGGGATGTTTCCGGGCATTCGGGGTGGATTTACTCCTACTGTCTGGGCATCGAATGTAAGGCCCGCGGGGGTTTTCGATACGTGTATCAGCAATGGTCTATTGGTGTAGGTGTGCACATGAGAGTTGACTCTGGGAAGGAGATGGGATATTAAATTGATTTGTGTTCATACTGCGACCATACCTGCTTTATTTTATGAAATTGAATATTGATTATTGCATTGTGGTGAGCACCTCGATTTCCTATTGTGCTCATCCCCACCTGCTCTTCATGGATGCAGGTTAGTATTTGCGGGCACGACAGAGGAAAGCGAGTGGTGGTCATGTTATCGTTTATTTCCGCTGCATTAAATTGCTTATTGTGAATTATGCATTCCTGACTTATGTTGAATACTGGATTATCAATAGGGGGTGTACTCCCTAGTATTTATGGATTTGATGAACCCAGTTTTGGGAGTGGATGTCATTTATGAACCCGGTTCGGGTGTTGACTATTTTCGATTATTGAACCCAGTTTGGGTGTTGACTATTTATGATTATTGAACTCGTTGGGAATTGCATATGTGATATTGTTGAAATTGTATTTGAAAAAGAGTAGCGCCTCAAGTGTTTTGAAATAAATTTTGAAAAATTTATTCTGAATTTCGGCAATTAAAAGTGGGGCGTTACACGTGGTATGATGGTATTGGACAAGCCCAACTTGTGCCATAAGGTAAACTCCCCCTATAAAAGGGGGGCTAAGGTATCTCATTCTCTCTACATTGATTACTATGCTCTTTAGAGATTTGAAGTTTTGGAGTGATATTGACTTGAGCGTCGGAGGCCCGACGCTGGAACCCCTCCCGGCGTTGGGTTCTTGCAGGTACGGAGGCCGTTTGAGTTGAAAGAGCCCGGTATGTAATTAACACTCTATAATTATAAATAATATTGTATAATTATTTATAATTATAATGTTTTTTATACATATTTATGGTAAATATATAAAACATTTAGATCGAATAAAAATAGAAAGTGGAGTTATATTTTTAAATACTAATAAGAAATAAGAGTATAACATTAATCAAAACTAAATGAGTAATATGTCGGACTCATAAAAATGAGGTTCTTAAGATTTATTGATATTGAATGTTTACAGGTGTTGAAGTAAAAATAATGTTTTGAATGATGTTACATGAGGTGTAAAAGAGATCACCCATCCCCCATCCCCCATCCCCCCTTAATATAATTTCAAAATATGTTGAGCCTAAATGGCTGGCTCGCACGCTTCGGAAGCTTACTTTGCAACATTACATGCTTCGGCTTTTGGTTCGGATAAAAATTAATACAATTATATTTGCTTAATCCGATCCCCTCCAACTCCAAAATAAGTAGGATTCTTATTCTTATCTTACATACCGTGTAAATAGAATTTTATGCCTAATATTATAATATTATAAAATATTTAATAAATAGAATTTTTGTTTAATTCAATCCCCTCCAACTCCAAAATAAATAGGATTCTTATCTTATATGTTAATCGTGAATCATAAAGATAACTTACCCCGTAATATAATATCATCACTTTGTTCCCGTAAAAATAAATCATATAGATAAGAACATGTATATATTTCAAATAAATAGGATTCTTATCTTAAGTTGTCGATATTTCTTTACTATTATCTAGATCTGAATCCAACACACCTTTAAATTCCTTCTGATCCCCTCCAACTCCAAAATAAATAGGATTCTTATCTTATATGCCGTGTAAATAGGATTTTTTCTTTAATATTATAATATGTTTTTGCTTAATCTTTGTCAAAATCGGTGTGAAACTATCAATATTGAACCACAAAAATTACACGGCTTAAGAATCCCATACCAATCAAAAATTTCTTATATAATTCATTCATTGGTTTTTATAAATGTTTCTTCTTCTTATTTTAAGATTTTACTTTTTTGTTTGTATTTTATTTTTCATATATGATATATCAAATTAACTATCTTTTAACGATTTTTGATTTGACACCCATATTGTATATATAAAATACAAAACAGTAATATATATCCTTATAAATAAAATTTAAATTTATTTATCAAACTAAATTAAATTGTATCATATAAAACTATAAATTATATTATAAAAAACAAATATTATACATAATTATATATACTATAAGGATCAAATGCATGTGTCCGTATTCTTGAAATGAGAATGTGAGACTCAACCCTATCTATTAAATAAGAAAAATGGTGTGTGGTCAAGATTTAATCTTTTTATTTTCTTAATTGTACATATTGATTTGACCGTTGACCTCCGGCATTGACCGTTGACCATAGTTTGTGCCCCTGTTGTCCTTAAAGACTGCGTCCGCCCCTGGATACTGACACTTGATGTATTAGACATCTAATTAAGTACAAAAATTAATCTATTTTGATTAATATTACATAAATACATTTTACACTTATGCATATTACTTCTATTTATTTAAGATATATATTTTTGTACTTATGTAATAGTAAATAATATCGATATTTTTATATGATACAAGTAAAAAAATTCAACACGAGTTGACATTTTCATTTAATGTACGGCTATTTAATTATTATGATTAAAAAAATATAATTTGACAATTTAATTAAACCTAAAGTAATATTTTATTTAAAATTTAATTATTTAGTTTTCTAGAAATAAATAAAAAATTAATATTTTTTATAAAAGCTTTCTAATTCAACGTGTAATACACGGGTATTGTACTATTGTATATTAATTCAAAAAGTGTTAAGCCTAAGTGGAAGGCTCGCGTGTTTCGGGATCCTATGTGCCAAAATTACATGTTTCGTTATTAAGCTTGGGTAGATTTTAATTTGCTTCCAATTTAAAAATAATTAGGTCTGGATTATCCATAAATATATTGATTATTTATGGCCATGTTGCATTTATTAATTACATTTTAATATCATTTCTTATTATAACCATTGTATTGTAAATATATTTTAAAAGTTAATAACTTTTTCAATTTTTATCAGTTTTACATATATAATATATCAAATTAATCATCTTTTGATGAGCTTCGATTTAACATCCATATTGTATGTATTAAAAAAGGTAAATTATATTTATCTTTATAACAATAATAAAATTATTTTTTAATATTAATTAGAAAAATAAATTATTCATCAATGGTATATTTATATTTCAAGTAGTTATATGATATAAGTTATAAAAATTATTATAAAATAATACATATAAGTCGCAAAACTAACAAGTGTCATTCTAAAATATATAATAATATACATTTTGGTGAAAAAATAAACAAAATTTAAAATTTATATTAATTTTAAAATTTAAGAATAATTTTTTAGCACTGTTCTCAAAATCGGCCTAGGCGGCCTAGGCGGCGCCTAGGCGCTAGGCGGTGCCCGGGCGCCTCCGATTTATACAAATCGGCAAAAAAAATCGGCCAGACGGTTAGGCGGCGTCTAAGCGGGCCTAGGCGGCCCTAGGCGCTCCTAGGCGGCCTTGGCGGGCTCGGCGGCCAGGCGGTTAGGCGGCGTCTAGGCGGGCGTAGGCGGACTTAGCTCCTAGGCGGGCTCGGCGGCAATTTTTCAATTTTTTTTTAATTTATTTTTATTTTAAATAGTAATTACATTATTTTGTTCTCATGTTTTCTTTAATATATATTAATATTATTATTTGGACTTTGGTGTGTGAATTTATTATATGTTGAGATAATTTTATTTTGTAGGTAGTTAAAATAAATAAAAAATAAGGTATTTACTATTGATTTCTGGGCCCCGACTAGGCGCTCTAGGCGCTAGGTACTGGTCGAACGCCTAGCGGGCGCCTAGCGACTTTTAGAACATTGATTTTTAGTTCAGCTCGAGGGGCAAAATCCGAAATTAAATTCAACCCTGAAGGGTGTTTAAGTACTTTCACACGTGATTTATCCATTGCAGCACCGCAATCTATTATCTAGTGCTATCTACTGCTACTTTTACAAGCATTAAAAATTAACAAAATTGCCGTCCCAAGGGGAAAAAATAAAAATCAAGAAACGTCGAAGACGAAGGTGTATAGAAACGAAAGGAAAAATATATCCATGGAGGACAGCTTCAGGGTTCGCGCAGATAAAGTGTTTGGCACCCTGGGCTGCCGGAATACGTTGTCGTCCCTGGGCGAGAGTTCTTCCTTGTGGTGCCTCGGGGACGAAGAAATCGAGAGGAGAGAGTGGAAACGCAGCAAGGATTACGCTGGAAAAGATGAAGATGGCGGCGCTGAATATTGTCCGCCCGTTGTGCAGAAAACACTCGGTTTAGATATTCAGGATCTGAGTGATTACGAAGAAGTAGAAGAAGAGGAAACTGAGGATGATGGGGAGATTGATGGTGGGAAGAAAAAAAGGCCTCGGAACAATATCACTGGTGCTGAAGCTAGTCATGATGACTATTTTGATGTTCAATTAAATATTGGTCGCGATTGCACTCTTGATTATGAGGTATTTGATTTTAACTGCCTTCATTATTTATATATTCTTTTTGCATTTGCCCTAGTATTTTTCTCTCAAGTCTCAATAGTGATGCGAACGTGAATCCTGGTAATTCTGGGGAATGTTGGTATATGTTAATATTCTATCATTTTCACTTAATTGATGAGATCTGAAAGCTTGTACTAAGATCTGAAAGCTTGTACTATTCATGTAGTTGTCCATAAATCGTGAAAAGGAGGCCATAGACATTTGAATAGATTGTGAGCATAAGTTTTCGTATGTTACAACTGACTATTCATGATGTTTGCAGGCTCGAGGTGTGGGTTCCTATGGGATAATAGTTTTTCTGTGACATTGTGACTTCCTTTCTGTTTAAAACTTGTAACGCATTATTTAGCATGTCTATTTGCCCTTGGCAAATATATTGTTTTAGAAGCATCCTCAAATTTCAAAATCTCGTGACATTGGAAATGGAGCTATTCCTCCTTAATGGAGATGTTGTGTTTTAGTTGTCAAAACCATGTCAACTGCATGACCGTTGTTTGCTTGAGTGGAGGTACTCAAAAGACATTGTGATATGTGAACTGTAGGTTATTTGCTCTTGGCACATGTGTACCAGAGTTGATTTTGTACTTGGTGTCCATGGGCACATGTAACCTTATAAATTGCATATAACAAATTTGGAGTGTTAAGAAGGATATCATCGACTAATAGTCGCCAATGCATATTTCGTTACATAACGCTGCCAAATGTCGAAATGAAATTTGTTGGTTTGTACAGTTTTCATTCACCTATGACAATTGAAAATATCTTGTAATTCCTAACTATGGAGTTCCACTTACATTCCCGTTATCTTGTTTACATTTTTGTACTCAGGAAGAGGAAGACCAATATGATAAACTGGCGGTCGGCATGGAGCAGGCCGGTGACCGCCTGTACATGAGGGACGTGAAATTTGCTGATTACAAAACTCACGAACTTTCTGAATACAGTGTAATTCCGGGCTTGTTCCAGGCTGTCGTGAAGGATCCCCGCGCAAATCATGAGGCTGCCAAGATGAGGCTCAACGAAGACGCCGAAGATGCCAGCAAGTTTAGCACTTCACAGCCATCGAATAGTTTGGCCCCAACAATAGAAGAGTTTGGAGATCCTAAACAACAGAGTGAATCGGAATCAGGCTGTGATAATCATGATTATAATAATAATCCCAAATCGATCCTCAAAAGAAGAGAGAATCCGGATGACTCCCGGTCAGACAAACGTGTCAGGTTTGCATTTGATGTTAAAAGCTCTATCCAGGCTCCTGAAGACCAACAGACATCGGAGCATTTTGAGGCAAAGGATTATCCACAGGCATCCAATCCTTCTATGTGTGTGCCCGATTATCTCAGGAACCCTTCCAAATACACGCGATATTCATTTGACTCATCTGATGATATGGACGACCAGTCAAACCAGAAAGCGTACTCGGACCTTTTTGATATCTTGAGGAGAAGAAATGTGGGGCCACAAATGGACAACATGCTCGTTGAGACTCCAAAAACTGTGGTGTTTGCACCGAGGAGGAAAAAGGGGGAGAAAGGTTCTGGCGGGACGAGGATTGAGAGCCAGAATAGCATGGGAGATGATAATGTTAGGAGCAAGAGTTGGTCGGTTGGTGTGACGGCAGAGAATGACCAAGAGAGCGAGGTGTGTGATATGGAAGAGGACGAGCCTTGCAAGGCGGCTGAGAAAGGGGGAGGCTTCGGCAGACCCTGCAGACAGTATCGGGCAAGGGCTAGTGTTGACATCGATGACGACTTGAATTGATTATTGAAGCATGCTGTATTGTTATATCCTTCCATATGTAGCATTGTTGTGCTCGTGGTTTGCTAGAAAATTGATTTGTCCAAAGTCTACCAATTTGTGGCTAAGTGGCTTGGGATGATGGTGTTTGAAGCTGCATTTTTGTTTAGGATCTTCGTTTGATGCTGGTGACATAATTAATATCTTTAATTTGACGAAAATTGTAGTCGCATATTTCAGCATTCAAATGGGTTGGATTTTGCATTGGATTTTTATGAAGTTACACATGGTACTGTTAGTCCTGCTATTTAGTGTTCCATGATTTGACTATTGACGGGCTTATTTCTTTTTATTTTCATTTTGAACATTCGGTGACTATTTAAGGGCTTATTTCTTTTTATTTTCATTTTGAACATTCGGCGACTAGTGTTGTGTTAGTTTGTTGGTGTGTGGTTTTAGACATGGCCAAGGGTGGACCAGGCCTGTCGACCCGGATCCTTAGCCTGCCGGGCCGGTTTCGGGTTGTGTAATATTCAAATTTTACCCGCCGGGCCGGGCCGGTCTTGGGTTGGAAGACGGCCCATGGTTTTCTCTCTT